CCTTAAGTTTTAAATAATATGCGAATATCAATTCTATTTTACTAGATGCTTTTCAACTTCAAATAAAATTTAGGATTACTTATGTTGTTTGAACAAAGAATGAATTATAAAAGTTATAAGTGCGTTATAAAAATAATAACACTATTATAGGGTTATTACTTTTATAATGCAGTTAGTTTAGGTCTGCCATAAATGTTGGACTACCAAACGGGACTACCCCCTCCCCTTCTGCCACCCCTTTCTCTAAAATAAAAACAACAACAATAATAACACATTCAAATAAACTTCTATTATTAAAAAAACAAAATGCTATTATTTTTTTAATAATAGCTTTATTATTAAAAAAACAAAAATGCGATTGATCATTGGTATTCCAAGGGCACAACTGTCACCCTAATTGTAATTCATTTAAAAACATTTTGGTCAACAGGAAATTTTTTTTGTGGGCAATGTACCAAAGCTTAAATAAACTATAAATTAATTAGCAATTCAACTAAATTTAAATAACCAAGCATAACCTAACTACATACCTGCTTATCAAAACATTTTATTACAAACATTCTTCACTTACCATTACTCTTCCGTAATGGCACATTTTCAATAGATCTTCAAGTATTGGCACATTTTCAATAGATTACCTTTTCTTTCTGTCTCTTAAGTCTTTATGAAATAGTGCAACTATTTATCATGCACATCTTTCATTTTCCATTCTTCACATGGTTCTCTTTCAATAAAAGATTTCATATACACAACTTCCTCATAAATAGAATCCATAAAAAATGTAATATAAATAAATATAATTTTCACTGAAATATGTAATGGTTTTTGCAACGTTTTCCCATTTGGGTACTTTGTTGAAAAGCTTCCACAAAAAAACATCATACTTGGCCATTGGAACTGACTATTTTGCGAAATAATTAATTCCAACCTTGAAAAAATTCTCTACATCATTTTCAAATTCCTCTTTTTGTGTTATAGTAATTTCATTATATTTTTTAATTTATTGTACACTTGGCTTGTTTGAATACTTAAAAGCTTATTACTTAATCTTTCAGTTGTTTTTTCAATAGTTTTTTCAAGCCCTCTAAAATTTTTTTTAGTGTTTTAATTGTTTTTTCAAGTCCTCCAAAATATTTTCTACTTCAATAACAGTTAAAATTAATTTTTCGAGTTTCCCAATTTTTTTATCAAACAAACACATCTGACTGTGTACAAATAAAGTGTATACTTCTGATATTGGATTTTTGATAAAATCTATTATTGCTTTTGGAAGATTATCTTCTTCCAAGAAAAAGTTCTTCAGTTGTTCCCACAACTTTAGCATTCTTTCAATTTCTTGAAAGAGTGATAACCATCTACTTCTTGAATGTGATAATATGCTGTTATATGTTGACTCAGCCGACTTACAGATATATAAGTTTTTCATTCCTTATAAAAATCAAAAAATTTGTAAAATTTTAAAACTAAGGTTCTATATGAACCAACAAGACATTGGTGGCAGTAGAAGCTGTATTATGAATAATGTGTGCAGACAACTGACTCCTGCTATATTTGCAGACAATGTTTCTTTTAATTTATAAAACACATTTATTCCGTGCCTTTCTCTCCCTCCAAAACTATTATTAGTATTATCAGCTCCAAATGCCACCAGGCCTTTTGCTGGAATATTATAATTGTTCAATGTATGTCTACAAAATACTGTTATTGTATTGGCGGTTTCATTAGACAAGGTTTGTAACTCAAGAAGTTTAAATTTTAGGCCATCACATTCCATGAAATAATGGATGAGTATTGTAAACATCTTCATGTATTTGTGATTACTTGAATCAGTAGAACCATTAAAAGCAACCTTTTGTAATTCCTGTTTAATTATTACTGAATGAGGTGCATTTTTGATTATAGCAGTTGCTTTTGTTCTTGCAGTAGATTGCTTGCTTGCAATTTTGGAATCTGGAAAGATGATGGAATTGAGTTTAGTTGTGCAGTCTAATGAACTGAATATCTGATGGTGTTTAACAGTTTTATATGCAGTTGTTAATTCGGCAGTACATATTAAAATATCTTCTGGAGAATTTTGTATTATCAGAAAAGACGATATATCTCTTTATGAGGATGCAGACATTAATATGGAACTGTAATTACCTGACTTAACGTAATCACTTATGCTTGATTTTCCACCATGACTCATCGATATAAAGATATTGCAAATGTAACAAAATGCTTCGTATTAATTTTTTCCTTTTTTAATACAAGGCCATTTTTTTGTAAAATTGTCTGAAAAGTGACGCTTCCTTTTTGGCATGTTTGTTAAAGTACTCAAATTAAAACAAACATTTAAAATTCAAAAACAATCCGGTACTAATAATAAAAAGAAATCAACGTAAATCACAACAGATAAGTATGGGTTGAGTCTTACTTAAAATTTTAAACACCGTTTTTTTTATTAAAAAAAAAAAATACTGAATTAGGAAGTCATTGCATTGCAAAACAAAATTTTTTTTCTCTAGAAAAATTTTATCAAGTAAACACTTACGTTACAAAAAATGTTTCTTATTGTAAAAGGTCCTGCTCTGTGCATGCACATATCAATATTTCTATGAATTTATGAATTGTAAGAGGTTTTTTAAATATGTCTAATAATTTTTTATTAACTGGGACAACTAATCCTTTGACAGGAACACTGGGTCACAGAGATTAAAACTGGGACATATGGCAACTCTAAATTATTTACTAGAGTGTTATTAGTTTCGTAGTTGTAAGTTTATTGTTTTATTTTTTATAACTAATTTTTATGTAAAATGATCAAATATTTTTAAAGTTATGCGACTTGGAACCTCTAAATAAACATTGCAATTCTTAGGAGACAAAAGGGGCCTGGCCAATATCTGCTAAAGGAAAATTGTCATGTTTTAGGATCTTCTTGAAGCTAAAATTTTCAAGCAATTCTTATTGTGCTAAGTACTCTTAATTGTATAAAAATTAACAAAATGTATGGTGATATAACCTGGGTCAATTGACATGAAATTATCCATCACCTAAAAAGCCATATAATATACATTCATGTGTAAGCATTATTTTGTTGAATTTTTTAGAACCTAAGTTTTGATTTTGGTCTTGTTAAAACTCTCAAAGTCTTGGTCTTGGGTTGATTTTTTGATGTTTTTGTGTTTTTAAGTCTTGTCTTAATCTTGGCCTTTACTCTCTTAACTACATCTCTAACTATAAGAATATTTTAATCATAGTGGTAGAATGCAATGAATGTAAGCAAAAGATATGAGCATTATATCACATACTTGTTCAACATGTTTTTTTGTGTTAAAAGTCTTTATTGCAAAATAAATGAAAGATTTGAAAAAAAAGTAAAACTAAAAAAGATTAACTGTTTAAAAAAAAAAAAAAAGGGACATCAAATTAATGGATAAAATTACATTGATTTGATATCCATTCATTATAAATTAGCATAGAGACACGGATTTGTATTAAATATTATGAAATAAAGATAAAATAAAAACATGAGTTTTTTAGGTATAAACCCTTTCAGTTCCAAACAAAAAACAGTAAAATGATTGTAAGTGAAATGTCATCATCAATTTAAAAGCTATAAAATAAAATCTAGTTGTCATAATTTCCTAAATGAGACCTTTTTTTTTTTTGTCAAAAAAATAGCTGCCAAACTATTTTTTTAAAAACCTATATTTTCTTAGCTGTGGTCATGTGATCAAATACTATTTTTGGTGTGGTTAAATTTACTAACAAATGTCATGACCCGCATAGCAAATCACAGGAGCTGATTTGATTTTTTCAGTGTACACTGGTTTCATAGGTTTTTTAATATTTTGAGTTATATCCAAATTATAAGAAATAAATATTAAATTGGTGAAAAAAATTGTTGCTATGCTCAATAGTACTTAGTACTTTACTATATTGTGTCAAAAATGATAAAGCAATGAATTATTTTTATAGATATTTATCTCTCCAAGGCTCAGGAGGCAACTATAGTTAAGGAGATTGTTGACTTTCTCTTAGTTCTATAACTCATAAACACTTTTGTACAGTGTGCTTGACAAGTACACTGTACAGAAAACCAGTTGAGTAGGTAACTTCAGAGACATAATTAAAATAGGGTTGAACTCTGTACTGGTTACAATTAAATAAATTTATTGAAATACAAATTATACACAAAAAAAGAGGAAAAATCTATTTATATAAATATAAAAAGCCATAATTACTTAAGACAAAAAAGTAAATAATTTGCCTAAATTACTTTTATAAACCAATTCTTGTAAATTTTGGTTTGAAAAGAAATGCTGAAGTATACATTTTTTAATTTATTTATTTGATTTGCAGAGTATTTAAATTAGTTTTATAAAAAGTCAATGTAGCTAATATATAATTTGGCAGAAAGATAAGTTCTCTTAAACAGAACTTTATAATATTAAATTAGTAAATTTTTAAAACCAAATAAATTATAAATTAAAAATAAAAAAATAAAATCTAGGATAAGACATGGTAATAATGATGTATTGGAAGAGTGCTTACTTTGTAAATGAGAAGTTCTGAGTTCGATCTAACAACGTACCTGTTAGTATCACACTCAGCTTGTTTCTTTCTCTTTCTAATAATAATTAAAAAAAAGAGAAGCTTTCTTGGCTGTAGTGGCTCTCTACTAAGGGCTTAAAGTAGAGCAATTAAGGGCATGTAGTAAAGTAGGTAATTTAAAGGCATAAAGTTGAAAAGAAAGAAAAAGTTGCATAAAGTAAGGGCATAAAGAGCAGAAAAACATAAATATTGTTTTTTTTAAATAATCAAGATGTGTATATTTAAAGCATTTCTCAATTTTTCTCCTTTAAGTTTTTCTGTATTTACTTTTCACTTTAAAATTTTTTTTGTATTTACTTGCTTCTTTTAAGCTTGTCTCAATTTGTCTCAACTTGTCTCTTTAAAGTTTTTCTCCATTCACTTGCCTATTTTTGGTTTAAAAATTGTTTTATTATTTTTAGCATTGCCGAGATCAAATGAAGAACGAAAACATCCAAAGTTTGATAAGATTAAATCTTTTCCTAAACCTATAGCTGATATTCTTCAAAAAATAATCAATTCCATTATAAACAGCTTTGTAAAAACATGGTATTCCTACATAGGCCCTGGTGAAGAAGACTTTATTAAAGAAGTTGAGTTTATTTTAGAAAATGTTATTTTAGAAGTTTATAATCAACTAGAACATGTTGATTTAAAGAATTTAACAGCTGTTTTGATTAGAATGTTTCAAAGACACATACATTTGTTTGATGAATGTCGAAGTATTATAAATAAAAAATATCCTGGTATTAACAAACAGGACTTTACTGTTTGTATTACAGAGCTTTATGAAGCTGCTGTCAATAAACATATTGCAACATTAAATAAAAGCGCTGAAATTGATTATATTAGAACTTTGCTTGATATTATATTGTATAAGTTTGCTCCTAAAGATGCTTTTTTATGCGAAAGTGGGCGGTTTATGTTGAGAGAAGTTTTAGCTATTCAACTAGTTGAACCTCTTATTCAAGAATTCATTGACCCACACGTTTTAAATGAGGTAGTAAATGTTATACTTGAGCCATCTTTACCTCTCTCTGTAATTCAACAAAGATGGAATGAAGCATTTTTAAAAGTTGAGAAGGACACAAGTTTATGTCATGAAATAGAGTATAATAAAAAAAAAGAGACTGACAATGAAAGTATTAGCGAAGGAGCACCTTTGTTAGAAACAAGTGAAGAACATTTAACTCCCGTCTATTCAGCATTAGAACATGAAGATGATGATTTATCTGGCAGTAATATTATTCGGTTTAACAAGTTCGATGAAAGATCTTCTGCACCAGTTTACGGTTCAAAATCAGTAAGAGACCATGAAAAGAAAATATTAAATAAATACACTGACAGCTCTTCATCTCTGCGTGATGACCTAGATATACAATCATTAGTTAGTCTTGATCCTATTGCATCTTCTTGGGGAGTTTGTCCTACTTCTAGTTCTGAAGTTTTCCTTGGAAAAAGTTTTTTAGATATGCCTAGAAATCAAGATGATATATCTGAGCAAGTAAAATCTAAGTTAAGATCATTAAGTGAAATTGTTGTTTCTCCTTCTCTTTTTTGCTTGGATAGAAATAGCTACTCCAAGCATTCTAATACAAAGCATAAAAAAAAGCGCAAAACAAAACCACAACAAAACAAAGGCACAAGTTTTTCAAGTGTTCCAGAAAAAGTAGCTCCTGAAAACAGGCCTTCTTTGTCAGAAATTTATCAATTTCAACAATTTGAATCTCATAAAAGTGGAGAAGAGGGTGTTTTTTATGATGTGGCACCATCTTGTCCTACTTGCATGGAAATGTCATTTTTTGCTAGCCCATTTCAAAACAAATCAAATGGTTTTTTTTTTAATGTTGACAAGAAAATCAAAGGTAATGAGCATGATTGTGGTTTGAAAACTCAGCATTTTTTTTACCCAGCATTAGTTGAGAAGAAAAAAATTACTTTAGATTCAATAGACAATGACTCATTTGTTTCATGTAGCAATTACCAAGATGAGGAACAAGAATCATCAAAAGAAAGTGAAATAAAGAATGTTTCAATTTCTATGCAAGGTTTTGATGTTGTTTCTTCTCTATCAGATACTAATAGCTCCTCTGATTCAACTGGCAGCTCTTCTGAAACAACACAAAGCATTAAAAAAAATGCAAACTTTTTTGATCAACTTGAGAAAAATGATGATCAAGTCCTGGCTCATAGTGCTCGATCAGTTTCTGCATCTTCTTTTCGAAGTGTTTATGAAAATAGTTTATCTATAAATCATGAAAAAATAAAAGGTAGAAAAAGTTTCAAAAAGAAAACCAAAAGTGTTGTTTTTAGGCTTTTTAAAAAAGATTTAATACAAAATTCCAAGCATAACAATATTAAAAAATTTCATTTGTCAAATGATTCAAAAGTGTCAAATGATGTTATTTCAAAAGATAAAGTAGAAAATAAAGAAGCAACTCATATACCAAAAATATATAAAAATTTAAAAACCAAAAAAAAAAATGATATTGATAATCAAAGGTTTGAATCTTCTTCTGTATCTACTACTCGAACCAAGTTTCACAGTATACCTGAAAATGAATCTGATAAAATTGAAATTGAGCGTGACAGTTTCATGGGCAATTTTGTTGAGGAAATAGCACATGAAATAAATGAAGATGATATATTTTTTGAAGAGGATGCAAACTCCCAACATTATTTACCATGTCCTGAAAACGTTGACCCATTATCTAAGGTGATAACTGTTACAGAAAAAGGGTATGATGTTTTATCAATTAAATCAGCAAGATCTGCAAAATCTAATGAATCCAAAGTTTCTAGTGAAAAATCAAGCGAGAAGTTAGTAACAAATTCTAAAGAACGTATGATGAAAAAAGAAACCTACATTCCTATATTTGAAGGACAAGTGATTATGCCTCACCCAAGTAAACTACCAGCTGCATGGCTTTATCCTATTCAAATGATTTCTATTCCTTCGACAGAAATTGCATTTGAGAAAGGGTGGGAGCCTGGTATAAATAAATACACTCTATATAATATTCATGTAAGTACTTTTATTTTTGAAAATAAAACATATATATATATATACATATATATATATATATATATATATATATATATATATATATATATATATATATATATATATATATATATATATATATATATATATATATATATATATGTATATATATATATATATATATATATATATATATATATATATATATATATATATATATATATATATATATATATATATATTACTTTACAATTTGACCAAGGCTATTTTGATGTTTTAACAATTTGAATGCAATAAAAAAATTGTTGCGTTATAAATATCTTTTAATTTTTTTAAAAGTTTTTATTTTATGCGAAGGTTTAAATAAAACTATAAAATTAATTATAGTTATTGTTTACATAAACGCATGTGTAAATTAATAAAAAACGTTATATATTAGTTTTTGAATAAATTCAAAAACTAATATATAACGTTTTTTTCAAGTTACTTTAGTTTATGAATAAATTCAAAAGCTTTAGTGACTACTAGTTTTTACATATTTTATGTGAATTATACAAGAATATGAAATCAATTTATTTACTTATATAAGAATGTATTTTGTTGATCAATGAACATGTTTTAAAGCATTTTGTAATATTTATAAGATTAATTTTTATAATTAAACTTACAATTTTTAAAAATGTTTTAAATAAACATTTTATTTTTTGAAATTTTTTTATTTTTTATTTTGATAGGAATGAATGAGTTTAAATCTTTTATAATAATTTTTAAATTCGTTTTGTGAAGCGCTTATTAATAAAGTTATAATGCTCAAAATAAAATTAAATTAAAATTCTTTTTGGCATTTTATTTTATTTAAATTGTAGACACATTTTATTTATTTTTTCTATTTTCACAAATAAAAAAGATGAAAATCTTTTTTTTAATTAGACTTACTAATTAGAGCATGAAATTATTAAAAATGACTATTTTAAAAAGACAACGTTATTTTTTTAAACAATTTTTTTTGTGCAACTTTTTTGAAAAAATGTTTATACAATTTAAAAATATTATATACAACACTTTTTAATAAATTTAATAAAATTTGTTCATTTACTTAATCTAAAAATGTTTTGCGTAACTTTAAATGTTTAAAAAGATAAGCTTTAATAACATTTATTTCATACGTAATTAAAAACATAAAAAAAAGTTTTGCTTTTAGTTTAAGTTTTTATTTTTATTTTAGTGCTTATTTGATTTCTTTTTTGTTACGAATTTGTTTTTTGTTTCTTTTTTCTTTAGGAATTTTTTTTTTGTTAGTTTTTTATTTTAATTTTTTTCCTAGTTTAAGTTTAGCTTAGCGTTTCTATATTCAGAGCATTTCTGAAATGTTTAAATCATCAAAACATATAAACATTTGTGGTCAAGTTGTCAAAAAATAAAATCATTTGCATGGTCAGCAATAGCGCTCGATTGCATGCCATTTCTATCCGAGCCTTTATACATATATATATATATATAATATATATATATATATATATATATATATATATATATATATATATATATATATATATATATATATATATATATATATATATATATATATGTATACAGGCTTCACTTCCCTTATCAAAATAAATATCATTTACAAGTATAAAAGGTTTTTAAAAACATGTGCCTGTTTTTAAATTTTATCTTATATAAATATATAAATATATATATATATATTTATATATAAATATATATATTTTTATAAATATATATATTTTTATAAATATATATATTTTTATAAATATATATATATTCTTATAAATATATATATTTTTATAAATATATATATATATATATATATATATATATATATATATATATATATATATATATATATATATATATATATATATATATATATATATATATATATATAGCACCCCTTCGTCATCTATTAGGCTGGCGCAGATGTATTTTTAATACATTGTTTCCAGTTTTGGATGTTGAACGCTGGATCTTCTTGACTCGATTCATGGGTTTTGCTTGTGTCTCTATTTTTATGACTAGGCAACTCATTCTATTATCTCCAAATGAGGGTACAGCTCTAAAACTCAGTTTTATGGTTCTGAGGCCGGGTGGTAGCCAGGTTTCCCGAACTCTGTGGTAGCTCTCAGAGAGGCTGAATCCATCAACAGCTGAAAAATATCAGAGTACTAACAGTGCCATGTTGCGCATGGATGGTGTCCCTGTTTGTACTTTTGGTGTGCATTGCCAAGGCCACATTGGAGGGTTTATTAGTGGAAATAAGGCAATTGCTTAGCTATAGAACAGTGTACTGAGTACTATCTATGTTTCAAGTCAAGTTCATTAACAAATTTAAAAATGAATAAAGTAACAAAAACTATAAAACACAAAAAACCACAGTCATCACCAAGTTCGCTAAACCTATCATTCACCAGTATTTGTGGTCTTCGAAGTAACTTTTCTTCTGTTGAGTCTTATCTCTTGCAAAGTTCACCAGACCTGCTTGCTCTTTGTGAGACTAATTTAAGTTCAGCTGTCTCATCTTGTGATCTTAGTGTTGATGGTTATCTTCTTTTGATTCGTAAAGACTTCAATAGTCACATGCTTGGCCTGGGCATTTACATTCGTAAGAATTCACCCATTTGTCGGGAAACTAGGTTTGAATCCACAGACTACTCTTTTATGTGCTTTCGTTTAGCACCACTTTACTCTATCACCTTTCTCTTTGTTCTATATCGCTCTCCCTCATCCCAAGACTGCACTCTTCTTGATGTTATTTCCGATTATATTGACCAAGCCCTCATTCTTTATCCATCAGCCAATATTGTTGTTGTCGGTGACTTTAATGTTCATCACACTGAATGGCTTGGCTCTAGTGTCAGTGACTCTGCAGGCATTAAGGCCCACAACTTTTGTCTTTCTCAATCCCTAACTCAAATAGTCAACTTTCCAACTCGCTTTCCAGACAACCCGAATCATTTACTTTCTCTACTCGACTTATGTCTTGTTTCTGATCCTAGTCAGTGTTCAGTTTCTTCACACTCACCCTTAGGTGCGTCTGATCATGGTTTGGTCTCTCTAAAACTATTATCTCATTCTTCTTTACCATTAGAATCCCCCTATCATCGTACATCTTACAACTACCTTAAAGCTGACTGGGACTCTTTTCGTGACTTTCTTGGTGATGGCCCCTGGGTAGAAATCTTTCGTCTCCCTGTTGACAAATGTGCTTCTTACATAACTTCGTGGATTCAGGCTGGCATGGAATCCTTTATTCCCTCTCGACGATTCCAGGTCAAGCCTCACTCTTCTCCATGGTTTTCCTCACATTGTGCTGCTGCAATTGCCAATCGAAACTATTACTTCCATATCTATCAGCAAAACAATTCTCCAGCAAACAGACGTCTGTTTATTACTGCTAGGAACCATTGTAAGAAGGTTTTGTCTAACGCCAAAACCCGCTATTCTCAGATGATGAAATCTCGTATTTCATCACAAAAATTAGGCTCTCGTGACTTCTGGAGAATCTTTAATAGTATCAATAATAAGGGCAAGTCTGTAATTCCACCTCTTTTGTACGGTTCAGACTTTGTCACCTCACCTAAAGACAAAGCTGAATTGTTTGCCAAGAACTTTTCATCAATATCATCTCTTGATGCCACTAGTTGCGTTCTACCTGATATACCCGTCAAACAGATCGATCCATTGCTTGACATTCGTATCACTCCAGCTTCTGTATCTAAAGTGATTTCCTGCTTAGACTCTTCTACAGCTTGTGGCCCGGACAACATACCTGTTATAGTCTTGCAGAAGTGTTCTCCGGAGCTTTCGTCTATCTTTTCAAAACTATTCAACAAGTGCTTATCAGAGTCTTGTTTTCCAGCCTGCTGGAAAGCAGCATCTGTTATCCCTATTTTTAAAAATTCTGGAGAGCGATCTGATTTATCTAACTACCGTCCCATTAGTTTTCTTCCTATCATAAGCAAGGTTTTTGAATCTTTAATTAACAAACACTTAATCTCTCATCTCGAATCTCATAACGCCAAAACCTTTCTGATCATCAGTATAAATTTCGATCTTCTCGTTCTACGGCTGATTTGCTGTCAGTAATAACCGATAGGTTTTATCGCGCATTAGATAAAGGTGGGGAGGTTAAGGACATTGCTCTTGACATTTCTAAAGCGTTTGATAAAGTTTGGCATGCTGGTCTCCTCCATAAGCTTTCTTCTTATGGTGTATCTGGAAACATCTTTAAGATTATTGAATCCTTCCTTTCCAATCGTAGTATAAAAGTTATCCTTGATGGACAGCACTCTTCTTCTTATTCTGTAACCTCAGGGGTTCCCCAAGGTTCAATCCTTGGCCCTATACTCTTTTTAATTTACATTAACGATCTTCCAGATATTCTCACATCTAAGGTGGCATTGTTCGCTGATGATACTACCATTTATTCTTGTCACAATAAGAAGCCAACTCCCTCTGATTGCTTGCAGGGGGCATCTGAGCTTGAAAAAGATCTCATTTCTGCTACAGCATGGGGCTCACAGTGGCTGGTGAACTTTAATTCAGATAAAACTCAATTTTTTTCGGCCAATCGTTATCACAATAGTTTAGACCTTCCTATATTTATGAACGGTAATGTACTCGATGAGTCTTCTACCCTTCATCTTCTAGGATTAACTCTTACTTCTGATCTTTCTTGGAAACCTTATATCAAATCCGTTGCAAAATTAGCATCTGCTAAAGTTGCTTCTCTTTATCGAGCTCGTCACTTTCTGACTCTGGATTCTATTCTCTATCTCTATAAATCTCAAATCCAGCCTTGCATGGAATACTGTTGCCATATCTGGGGCGGATCTTCTAATTATGCTCTTTCTCTTTTAGACAAGGTGCAAAAACGCATTGTAAACATACTTGGACCTGCTCTTGCAGCCAACCTTCAACCTCTGTCACATCGTCGTAATGTTACTTCTCTTTCTCTTTTCTATAAATACTATAATGGGCACTGCTCTATTGAGCTAGTG